CCCAACCTCAACGAACCTTAACCTTTCCTTCTAACATCCTGTAGCTTCTCTCGTGACCCCCAAACACTTGGAAGCCTGCTTTTATTTAACATGAAGATAGCCCAGTTGCTCCTTCCGGGCCTCCTCCCCACCTCTCAGCTACACCATCACCCACTGCAAGCTCGTCCTTTCTCAGAGCCAGGCAGTGCCCAAGCACACCCACTGAACCTTCCTCAGTACCTTCAGTTTCATAAACTTCTGCATGTCCAACAAAGAGGCCCTGTACAGGGCTAGGCTTTGGACTGAGACCCACAAGGTTCAAACCCACCAAGTGCTCCCCGAGAACGAAATGATGCTGTCTGCTCCCATAAAGACTTACAGCCTCACTTAGGAACAATTTGGAGAGGGATAACAATAACCGTGGTACAAAACGACGAGTATTAACAATGACACTCACGGGAACGAATAGTAGCAGTGTGGGTGAACGGATACATTGGGTGGTGTAAGATAACGGCAAATAAACAAATAACTAGTATAATCATAATAATATATAATAAGGGTTCCTGTGGGGTAGAGTGAGGGGAGGGAGGGGACAAAGGAGAGTTGATATCAAAGAGTTCAAGAAGAAAATGTTTTGAAACTGAGGGTGGCAGCAACTGTACAATTATGCTTGATCTAATTGATTTAGGGATTGTTAAAAGAATTCCCGAGAAAATGATTAAAACAATATAATTTTTTATTTTAAGACTTGCAGCCTCAGCACCAACATATCGTCGCTGTGAGTCCAAATGGACTCTATGCAGAGGCCTTGGGTGTTTTTTGGCTTATGCCCAGCTATGTGATGTCATCCGAGACCCACAGAGTCACAGAGTTCTCCTGGCAGATGGAAATACTCTTCAGTGCTGTCCAATTGATAGCTACTAGCCACAGGTGGCTGGTCAACACCGGAAAAGTGGCTAACTAGCAACTGAATTCTTTATTTAATATTTTATTTAAATGTAAACAGCCTACGGGGCTACTGGCTCACTACTGGACAGTGCAAGCCCAGACAGCCTACATTTGTTATGTTCTACCTTCTCCCTCACAACACACACACACTCACACACACACACACACACACGTTACAGTCCACTCTATACGACAGGGTACACACACACACACACAAAAGGTTTTTTTTTCAAAGCTATGTATTTAAATTTTTTGACAAAAAATTTCAAAGTACTCTTTGAACTTCAAACTTCAAAGTACTCTCTATTACACTTAAAACATTGGTCAAACCTGCAATTCCATTCTTGGAAACATTTTTCAAACTCATCTGTTTGGATGGCTAACAGCACCTCCCTCGTTTTTTTCTTCACCTCATCTACATCATCAAATCGCTGTCCTTTCATGTCCCTCTTCATTCGAGGAAATAAAAAGAAGTCGCACAGCGAGAGGTCATGAGAGTAAGGTGCATGAGGCAAGAGATGCTATTTTTTGCCAAAGACTGTCACTAAGAAGGCTGTGTGAGCAGGTGCGTTGTCGTGTTAGCAAAACCAGTCTGCCACAAATCAGGACTTTTTTGTCACACACTGTTACGCAATCTTTTCAGAACCTCTAAACAGAAAGTCTGATGAACAGTCTGACCTGGTGGAACAAACTCCAAGTGCAGTATCCCACTCACATGAAAAAAAAAGGAGCATCGTCTTGATCTTTGCTTTCATTTAACAAGCTTTGGGGGGCAAGGTGATGATGGTGTCCTCCACCGGCTTGATTGATGTTTGCTTTTGGGCTCGTAAGAATAGCACCCTATCTCGTCACCATTAATGAGCCCGGAAAAAAATTCCATGCTGCTTTGGAGCTGTTCTTTCAAAGCAGGGCATGTTTCCACTTGACACTCTTCTTGCTGGTCAGTCAGAACCCCAGACACAGTTTTCACAGCGACCCTTCTCATTCCCAAGTCTTCCATTAAAATTCGCTGAACTGAGCTCCAAGATAGTCCAGTCCAGTTGACGTCCCCATCTCTTTAATGGCCCACCATCAGTCTTCAAGCACAAGTGCACGAATTTTGTCAACATTTTCGTCTATTCAGGAAGTTGACAGGCGTCAAGAATGAGGTTTGTCATTAATCAACATTTCCCCTTTTTTGAAAGGAGAAAACCACTGTACACCTGAGTTTTTCCCATAGCGCTGTCCTTGTAAGCTGTGTTCCACATCACAGCAGTTTCTGTGGCACTTTTCCCAAGCAGAAAGGTAGCCGTACGCTATTCTCTTAAATCAGTCATCACAAAAAATGAGGTTTGAGCAAAACTTCTTTTACAAAAAAATTCACTGTGACCATTGAGAACCTTCCAAGGCAACCCCACTGGGTGCACTAATTCAAGATTTGTCGGATGCTCGCCTAGTGGGGAAAATGCACACTACAATAGCACCATCCAGCAGAGCTTTTTTCTAAGCAAATGGTGTATGCTTAGCAAATGGTTAACTATCAGTAAACACGTGGATATCCAAGAGTCTGGTTTGGTCAAAGCAACCTGCCTAACCTCATGATTATATCCAGGAAGCCAGCAGAAGACAATTTAAGACACAGCCCCTAACACAGCCACACCTGTTGCCTCGCTCAGGGGGGACAGGTACACAGCAGATAGGCCTGGGAGACTGTAAGGAGCTCTGATCCTTCTTTGCACCAGTGGTATTATCCCCTCTCACAGTGCCCAGGTGACATGAGAGGTTACTAAGCCTTGGGCTGCTAACCCAAAGGTCTGCAGTTCGAAACCACCACCCCCCATGGGGCAGGACAACCAGCTAAGGCTTTCCACTCCAGTAAAGCCACGGGGGCAGTTCTACTTTGTCTCATAGGGTCACTGTGAGTCTGAACTGACTTGATGGCAGCGAGTTTGAGAAACTGTCCAGACCAACCATGAGCGAGGTTCTGATCATCTCCCCTCCGTGGCACCGCCAGCAGCCACATCACCGTGGCACTGGGAAGGGAGGAGAGAGGGAGAAGAAACCACAGAGGCTTGTTTGGGTCTCGAATCCACACAGTGGAGAGACAAACAGAGATACGCTGTGACAACACTCTAGATTCTGTACAGCAATAATAGCATGCTTCGCCTAATCAGCGTCGCCTGGAGGAGCGGGAGAACAGGGACAACAGTGCTGGCTTTAATTAAATTTGTTCAGCTACTACCTAAGAATCACCATGACACAGGGAAGGAGGAAGTAGCTAAGGCACCCCATGGGGAACACAACTAATTAATACATAAGAAAGTTGGGATAAGGGATCCCCACCAAGGAAATAAGTTAGCTTCTATCCAAGACTCCTGACTAGTCTGGGTGAGCGGAAAGAGGGCAAGTGTGTTACCAAACTCACTGCCGCGGGATGGAGCCAATGCCCACTCATAGCTACCCTGTAGGGCAGGGTAGAACTGCCCCCATGGGTTTCTGAGCACAGCTTTACAGGAGGAGAAAGCCTGCTCTTTCTCCCACAATAGCGTCCAGTCACCTAAATTGTTACTCCGTACAAATCAACCATCCATGTATTTTTGTTCTAAAACATAGTTTTATAGATGTATACCTTTTTTGTCCTCAATGTTTTAAATTCTCTATCAGTGGCTACATTAACAGTACTATCAATAGAACTACCATATGTCCTGTGGGGGAAATGTATGAAGTGCTCCAGCAAAGTAATAATGATGCCTTTAAAGTGAACCAGGGATGTATACAAATCATAGCTGTGTGAATGGATCTTGAGCTCAAACTTAATCGTAGCCCTAATCTAAGAAGAGTGAGTTCTATGACAATACCGACCTGTTCAATACCTACCCCCATGAAGAAATCACTGAAGATATGGGTGCTATAGCAAAGCATGGTGAAGACAGGAGGTAGTGCCCAGCTATCCGAAAGAATAATATCTGGGGTCTGAAAAGTTCCTCTTATAACAAGCAGACATTTAAGTGAGGCACCGGGTAATTCCACACAGAAGAATCGCACCAACCTGTGTAATCTAAACATTGTAACTAGTAAAAGCCAAACCCAGGAGAGGGAACGGTACTAGAGCTTAAATTCTGCACTCCCAGTTTACAGAAGGCTTCGGATGACCTTGAAGCCCCAAACCCATTCACTGGGTCCCCTATGTGGATTAAAGCTCTTGTAAATTCCCTCTGTCTGTGGACCAGAGATGGGAAAGGCCTTGTTATCAGACAGAGCACAATGCAGGATGGATTACTGCACTTGTAGCTATGCCAATATGTGATACCTCCTCATTGACATCCCTCTTGAGCCAATGTATACATTGTTCCAGTTTTTAATATTATCAGCTTTGTTTTCAATTGAGGCTTTTCTCTGTTTCATCCTGTCATTGTTGTCAGGCTGTTTGTGTTTGGTTTTGTAGGTTTTTCTGTATAGGACAGGTAAACCTCCATAGACAACAATTGGACCAACAGATTCAAAGAAGGGACCTGACAGGGGAACTAACAAACATGAGCACAAGGAAGAAGAAATGTCGTGGAACTGATCTGGTGGTGGCTGCACAACTCTTATGAATGTGACTGAACTATTGAAATGTATGACATGTGAACTGTGTGTTCGTGAGACTGTTAAAAATAAACAAACTACTTTAAAATTAAGAAAAGAGGCACTGAATGGAGATGACCTCCACAGTCCTGTCCAATTCTCGCTGGAACTTGACAAAACGGGCCGCCAGAGACGTGAGGGGAGGCCACAGCACCCCGCCAGCAGCATGCACACACTCGTTTCCTCTCTGGCGCGAGGCAGAGGAGCAGCAGGGCAAGTGGGAACTATCTTTTTAATCTCTGATTTTACTTAATAGTGCTAGGAGGTCACCAGACCACAGACAGAGCGCAGGACGTAGGGGCAGCCAGGGGCTCCCTTTACCTCTCCAAACAGGCAAATTCCAAAAGCCCATTAGAGACCCAGCTACTGCCCGTAAGCCCTCCATCCTAAATCCCCAGGAATGACCATGACCTACAGGTCTCCTCCCTTTTTCTCAGACCCCTTCCCAATGGGACAACCCCTCTTACCCTGCACATCTTCTTCGCCTGGTTTTATAATCCAGGGTCTCCAGGTTTGGGGAATCGTCTCAGTACTCAGCACCCAAGGTGAAGCTCATCAGAAGTCATGATCTAGAGAGCTCTCTGGTGTTCGTCTCCAGAACAGGATTCTGGGAACCAGATTCCCCCACGGCTGTAATTACGTCTTAACCAATATTTGGATATGGAAGGGCTGTTGACACTGCTGTCACTCTCCTTATGCCTCATGCTTTCTTTCCCCCTCTATTATTAAGCTTTTACACAAGGCTGTGTGGGAACTCTACAATTTAACAGTTGAGTCAACTTGTAAGATCTGGGAGCAGGCTGCCTGTCAAAACAGATTGCCTTCAATCTTCACCCACTTAACACCTGAGAAGTTACCCATGAAAACCCACTAGACTATACACATTATTTTAAAAGCACTGTTAGATTTTTTTTCCCTCCCCTTTCAAAGGTGAAAAAAATTCAGCTCTTTCGCCTATTAATCACAATGGAACCTGAATTGCCATCTAAAAGCATGCTAGGAAAAAAATAATAAAAGCATCCTAGACAGCAGTTGGGCGCACATGTGTATATTACATAGATAAGGAACAGAACCTGAAGGCTTTTGTTCCCAAGTCTTTAGACAACATTCTCCCAGTCCACAAAAATGAAAAGCCAGTGTCCCCAAACTGCCGATGGGAGACGGCAGATGGCGTCTCAGAGAGGAGAGAAAACTCTCTTGGAAAGAGCTTCCCCAATGGTGCAGGTTAACTGTGGTCTACCTGGAGTTCCTCAACCCCACTCCCCAAGTCAGAGCCACCTGCTCCTAGCATCCCTCGCCCCGTCCCACCCCCACCCCCAGTCCCCCAGTGATGAGTACGGACAGAAGGCTCCAAGACACAAAGGTGAGAGCGTCCACGACACGGATCTGTTCCCTGTACAGCACAAGAACACATCCAAAAGCCCGCCACAGGAGCTTGTAGTAAAAACCAAAGAACCTCCAAGGTTCCGGGTAGGGCGGAGGCTGAAAGCAGCAAAGCCCCGGAGGGAGACCTTCAAGTCGGCCACTGTGGGCGCGCTACTCCCGGGGGAGGGGGTTCCGGCTCCCGGTGGTTCTGTATTCCAGCAGTCCACTCGCAACTCATTTCTGAGTTCCGAACTTCATCGCTGAAATGCAGCTAGCTCTGGGGCTTGAGGGGGAAGAGAAAAACACAACACAGGAAGTATTTTTTTTTCTCCTCCTCCAATCATTAACACACCCCAGGGGAAATGGACCCGGTGCGCTGCCTGGAGAGGTGTGGTTTGACCTGAAACCCTTGGGAGGGGAAAACCTACTTTTTGGCGAGCCCCGAATGACTGGCTCACACTGCCCATCTCACCAGGTCCATTCCCTTAACTTCCGAAGCAAGTATTCTCGCCCTACCACACCCTTCCAAGACAAGAAAATAAGAAGAAATGGTTAGATTTCCCCAGCTCGAAGGGAGCGCTCTCTCCTACGGCTGGTCCATCGTCTGGTCCGTCGCCAGGACCCAAGTTCGCGGCCACTCTCTGATGTGTGGCATCAGCGCGGGGGCCAGGCTCGCTGAGAACGATCCGTGGAGCTAGAGAAACAGCAGACCCGCGCCCGGGCCGGCCGGCCTCCCCGAGGCGCGGCACTGGCACCCGGGGAGGAGGGGGCCTGCTCGGGGATCGAGCCCTCCCTCCCCCGCGCGGGGGGCGGTCCCCGCGGAACCTCCAGCCGCGCACCTCGCCGGCCAGGGCGTCCCGGGGCGCCACGGCCGCCGCGCGCTCGCGGCGAGGCCCAGGGAAGTGAAATCACACATTCCGGCTCCCAAATAAGGAGCGAGGCTAAATAAACCTCGGAGATCCGACTTCTCCAAACCAACCGACCAACCAGCTCAATGAGTAATGGGCCTTTTGTGCCCGCAGAAAGAAAGAAAGGAAAGGAGGAGAAGTGAGAGGCACCGCGGTCCCCGTAAATAAATTCCTTGCGACCCGGTTAGAGCCGCACACGGTCTCGAAGCCAGCCGTCTCCCGGTCCGGCTGGGTCTCGCGCCAAGCCCCCAAACGGTAGCGTGCTCGCGAGTCGTCCCTCGTCCCCGGCCCCCCCGGTGCCCCGAGGTGGCCCGGAAACCCGGCCCGGCGGCGTGGTCAGCTCCCCTGACCTTCCCGCGCCCGGCCG